TCAAGTTTGACATTACATTCCAATGATTTATGCATTACGTCGCATAAATATATACATGTTGCTTCACAAAGAGTCTCACAATGACTCGATCAAGGCGGAACGAGCGGGTCGCGTAAAGATAAAAGCATGGAAAGAAAAGGAGCGATCCACAATAAGAAGTAAGTCGATTCTGCGACTGTCCGCATTTGTTCGTTTCTTTTTCTATCCGCGGAGTTGTCTGTCAAGCCGCTTCGGAAATACTCCGAAGAGACTTGTACACGGGAGCGGGCGAGAGGGTGGAAGGAGTAGGATGCGCCGTTTCCTACAATTCTTACTCCATCTTTTTCTGATCATTCCCAGAGGAGAAGAATGCTAAATTATGAACGAACCGGTCCGCTCAGATTTCTTCGTCGGCATCACGCTCCTCCTTTCGCTTCTCCGAGTTTAGAGATAACCGAGGCGAAAGCTGAGATCACAAAAAGAAACTGATTACATGTAGAGAGTAACGTAATTTCAATTGTTTCGATTCTCAGTTCCGTATAGAAGAGCTGAAACTTACGTCTCTGTTATCATAACTGTATTTATTTGTATATGTATAGAAGAAATGTAAGAGAATTGTCATGAAACGGCATTTGAGACGTAACCTGAAGATGTTAGATGAGTAATATTCTTGAGACTTCCATGAGTGCTTTCTATATAAAGATTATGCGTTTCGCGGGTTTCCTCCGTGTCCAGATCCATTCTTGGAAAGTTTCATGAACCTTGCAGTCCACTTCATCAGGGCGAGGAGCAGCCTGATACTGAGCTGTTCCTCCGGATCACTCCTTTTTTATATTACGCTACTTGTTGGAATGGTAAGGGAAAAAGGGAATTGTGGGGAGGAAGATGGGGGAATCGGTCAGTCTTCAATAACCGGGAGAATGTTTTTCCATATTTTATTTATGTTGTAGCCAGTATCTCTATTTAGATTGTTAAGGTGTTTTTGTATCTCTATGGCTTCTCTATATTTTCTTGGAAAGTATGATGTAATGTTTGCTATTGTAGTCGTTTTGTCAAACAGTATTTGATGTCCTGTTTCGATGTTGTGTTCTGATAATGCTGATTACGTGACGTGTTTTAGCCTGACATCACGTTGGTGTTCCTTTATTCGTAGGTCATTCTCCCAGTTTCTCCAATGTATACTTGCAGGAACAAGGTATTTTATATACTCCTGCAGAGCTGAATGGAGGTCTATGATCTTTAGGATTTCTTAGGATTTATCCTATCTTTTTGGGTGAAGATAGTTCGAATATTGTGTTTGTTTAATATCTTGCCAATCCGATGTTGTTCTTTTGACACATAGGAGAATGGATAGGATCCTTTCGTCTGATGGTGTGTCAGAGACTGTCTTGTTTGCATGTTTATTGATTGTTTTGATTGTCTTTTTTGTCGTGTCCGTTTTTCTATTAGATGAGTCTGAGACACTTTAATTATAAATTGAAGAACAAAGCATTTATTATAAAGAATTTGGCACTTTCGCTTATATAGAGTGTCCTATTTTAATTAACCATCTTAAATATCTTTTGAACAATGCATTTTAGTGAAAAATGTTTCAGACCAAAGTTTTAACTTCAAGGAAGACATAAGACCACTGGTTTGATCTTAGGTGGCATTGTCAAGATCAGGGCAAGGTCACTTTGAATTTTTCAAATGGAATTGAATTTTCTCCCATTCTTTCTCTCCTTTTCATTACTCTCATAATTTATAAAACTTTTGAAGCATTTTTCCCTGTTCAAGAGATATTTGAGGTGATCAATTAAAATGAATTGATCACCCCATAAAATCGATCAAACTGTTTCTAATTGTTAATAACTCGCACTTATGTAAACTGCTTCCGATTCGAAATTCATACTCGGATTGAGTATTTTCTTTCTGATTATTAACTTGCGCTTCGACACACTTACGTTGAGATTGTTTCTGACTGTTTCCTTACAGTTTACTCTCACACAGTTTTTGAATTTCTCTCTCGAAATTCAATTGTGCTCTCTCATCACGTATCAGAGCCCTTACGGCTATTATATACTTAATCCTCTATAAATATATAGTCGATAATACAGCCTATAATCTGATAGAAAGATTATTCTTATCCAGATGTAATATCGCGAAAATCTCAAGTGTCCTCCTTCCAACATAATTATGTTTATTTTATATCGTGATGATTATAAAAAATCTTTTTGGATTATCTTATTGTTAGTCTTGAGAGGCATATAACGTCGTCATTTTGTCTAGTTCTACAATACGCAATGGATTTAAACAATGGCTGCGTTCAGCAGAGAAAACTGATCAGTGAGCGTTCAGTGATTCTTTAATATGATTGATTCTTGCCTTTAGTTCTTTGCTGGATCTAAGTGTAGGAACCAATCATATTAAAGAATCACTGAGCATTCACTGATCAATTTTTTCTGCTGAATGCAGCCAATGTAACATTCAGCGTCCCACTTTACACTTTTATTGTTGTTTGGCATTGTACTGTTGTTTGGTATGTACAGTACTTTGTACTAAGCATTTAAAGGGATGTTGGAGCGACGGCCGAATTTCACTCTTTTGCCTGAAAAAGGCACCTTTTTCACTGCAGTTTTTCTATGTTTTTACATATTTGATAACACTCTGACAAAATTTGACCTTCCTGTAGTGAGCAGGACCAGTATTTCTTAATAAATTCAAGGTCACTGAATCCAAATCTGCCAGTGAAAGATGCCCATCATGTCAGGTTTTTCAGGTTTTTTAAATCAAGAAATATAAGCCAAAAAGCGTTTTTTGCCATTTTTTTGTGGCTAAACGATATTTTATTTTTTAATTTCATTAACGCCACTCTAAATAGCTAATCTTCATCTTTAAGAAATTTCCATTTTTTACTGTGCGATTTTTTTTATCGAATTATGAACGTTTTCTGATATGTAAAATGGCGGATTCAAATTAGTGAATTGAAACTGGAAAGTAGATGTTTTAAGAAAGATAATGACAATGCATTAAATGGCAATATGCTTACAAAATTCTTCAAGATACAAATAAAATGAAAAAGCATTTTAACATTTAAAAAATCATAACTTTTTATTTTTCAATATTTTTAGCTATAATTTATACATAGATGATACTTCTGAAATGTGATACTTTGAAAAAAAAGGTATGTCTGTACTATTTTCAAAAAAGATATTTATTCCGACATCTGAAGTTTACTATTTTTGAGTACGAAAAAACATGCAATTCTGAGAAAACAATTTATTTGAAATAAAAGTATTCTATATTCTATGAATACAATAATACATAGTACAAATAATAATACTGATAGTAGTACATTCTATTCAAGATCAAATTAATGACACCATTTTATGTCCTCTTCAAAATCATACAACTTTTGTGTGAAACATTTTTTTCTAAGATCAAAAATAAAAAAGTTATTTGGGATGGGACATTAAAATGTGATATCCTGTATACAAGTTATAGAATTTTATCAAGGAAATGTCAAATGACAGCTCGACGACTTGAAAAATATAAGTTTTTAACTTTTTTTCCGATTTTAGTATAAGATTTTCAATTGCCCCATCTCCTAATTCTGCGTTTATTTTAAACTTGTAAAAGGATTTCCGTTCAGTCAATTCAGAGATTTGTATACGTCTATAATATGTGTATCAATAATTTCGTCATTCCAGCATCTCCTTAAGTTTAACATGATGAAAAAACACAGACAATATAGGAACAGGAAATAACAGATTTCAACCTATCAAAAATCATGTATACTAAAATATACGGTTTCTAATTAATTGAAATATTATTTTCTGTTGTTATCTGTGTTTTTCACTGTATATTTAGTGTTTTAGATTAACCTATTTTATTACCCGTTGTCTGCGTCGCTAATGATGACTTGATTATGAGCGTGAACGTTTATCATGAATTTTTTTATTAAATCTATGCCTAACACTATGATAGTTTTATTTTTACTCATTTTTCGCCGTGTTTATTCGCATAGATAGCTCTCTCTCTTTGAGTATTTTTTAAGATTTTTTTGAAATTTCATTGGATATTCATTGAATATTCATTTCGGATCTTGCGTTTCAAGATATTAAAGTTTTTTTTTCGCTCTTATAATGATTGCAGATTTAAAAAAAACGGGACATAATTAATTTTTTACATTTTGTTAATGCTATGGAAGAATCAAGATCTGATCATGTCAAATGACTTCCTCGCTATATTGATTATCGATATCCGTCGCACGTAGAGAGAAGTGAAAACGATCGCATGCGATCTCCGGATGAGAAGTTTCTCTCTTTTTCTTTCTCTCTTTCTTTCTCTCTGAGCTGTTCTTGGCTGGTCCACCTTGATGGGTGAGAGAAGAGAACCCAGAGAGAAAGGCGCGATGCAGGGCAAGCTGGAGGGCTTTGTCGTTATGGGTTACCACGTAATTTCATGAGGCTATAATTTGGGGAACACCGTAAAAGAGAAGAGCATCGGGCTTCTCTCGTAATGGGTGAATCTAGAGGGGGAAGGAAAAGGGCAGGAGATAGCAGAGAATGGTCCCGATGGGCCTCAGACGTGCGAGGGATCTATCGGGATTGAGGCGGGAAGAATGGGCGGGATAATTACCCCTGATGCCCACCGCTCGTTATATTTCATGGAAGCGAGGCGTCTCCTCTCCGCCTGTTTAGGTGCATTACCCTCTCACTCTCCATCTTCGTTACAGGCTTTGCTCCACGCTTAGAGAACAGAGGAATGTATACAAATTTATTTAAAATGTTAAAATATTTTGTAAAGGAAATACAATGGAGAAATTCACGTAACTCTTTTGTCAAATATCTTGCCTGATTACAATCGATGTGAAACAATATATTATAGATTCAAAATCAGTTAAAAATCAAATATTTAGTAACTGAATCAAAGTGATTGGTCGAGTCATACGAGCTTCAAAGAGACAAAGTTAGGAGGCAAAATTTACGCATTTACTTGTTCTAATTACACGTGCACTTACTTGACATGTGCATTTGCAGCTGGCGACCTTCATGCCACTGGTCCACTACAACTGTTCAAAACATCTTAGGCTCTTCTTATGTGCCGTCTTTGCCCCAGTCTGCTCGGAACATGTAGCCATACCAGCTTGCAAGTCTCTCTGCCTTTCCGTAAGAAGAGACTGCGAACCGGCCTTAACCAGTCTCGCGTTGCCGTGGCCGCACTTGTTGGATTGTAATCGTTTCCTTGATCGTGGTAAGTACTCACTTGGCTTTGAATCATCAATAAATGTCTCAGCAAACAAAAGTATCAACATCAATTTGTAAAATTTGAGCAGAATTTACAGTGGGTGCATCCAATAACATAATTGCTCAGTGATTAAGTAACAGTCGAATGTGATTAATTCTTACTTTTAGATCCTACCAATCCTTAAATTGCTACTTATTGCAGTCTATTAAATTTTTTATATCAATCTATTGTCATATTTTTGTTAGCAAACTTTGTCATATTTTTGTCAGATAACAAGCAAATCCTGCATCATGTCTATAATTTTATTGCTAAAATTTGTAATAAGGATATTGTATTTTTGAACATATATTTTTGACAAATTTATTATATGCGGGAAACCAAAATTAGAAATTCAAATTTGAATAGCAAATTCTAATTTTGAATAGCAAAATTTAAAAAGTCTGATACATTTTCAATTATTTATACAGAAATTTCTTAGAAAATCTCATCGGCAATTAGAAATCTTAATACGTTTAAATCATGTAATGCTAATATAAATATGTATGATAATTATAAATTATATAACAATAACAAATAATTATATTAGGACTCTCGAATTTGTGAGCTAATTATAATTGTATCATTCTTGCTGAGGAGGACTCCAAAGAGAGTCGAAACGTTCAAAATAAAGAAGACATCGATTCAACATCTGATTATTGATTATTCACTAAATAATTGCGCCGTTTATCGTTGCTGACTCTCATTAGCTTATTATATTTATCTTTTTGTATTGTTTATAAATTATATGTTAAAATAACTCTATTCTTCCTATATTGCATATGTAGGAAATACATTGTGCGTGCAGCCGCCGGACGAAACATTGGACAACACCAGTTCACCAACACTACCAACCGTTCAGCAACAATGGCCGGTGATGTATGAACGACCACCGCAAATATCTATAAGATTACAACAGCAGCAACAGCATTATCAGTGTCCACCTCATTTTGTGCAGATATCCGAAATGGAAATGGTTAGAATAAGCAAATAAATAAAAGAAAGCAAAAATTGTATAGATAGAAATATTCAAATTTAAATTATAATTGAATAATTATATAAAAAGTAAAAATAACAGCAGTATGAATTATAAATATTATTTTTCAATATATCCAGACAACACAAAATACTAAAAAGATATCTTTTTATAGTTTTATAGTTTTTACAGTTTTAAAATCTTTTAGCTGTAGGCTAATCCAATCTTGAATACTTGTAAAAAAACTCTTCATTAAAGGCTTTTTTCGGATCTCTTTGAAGATCTCTTTATTTTATATTAATATATAAGGCTTTACTTTATAGAATATCATTGGATAATGTAAATGGAGTAAAAAAAGCTTTCAAAGAGGATAAAAAAAATTTATCTAAAAACAAGGAAGACTATGTTAAAAAATAATATAAAACACACAAACGCGCGCGCGCGCACTACTATTTCTTTTATTTTTTGTATAATTATCGAATTATAAATTAAATTTGAACGCTCTTCATATATATTTTTTCCATTATTCTACAGATTTCTTGCGCACCACGTTGTGGTACCGACGCATATTATCGCGCAGAAGACAAAAAATTCGCCGAACGTTGGATGACTGGCTGGGCATGGCTATGCTTCCTGTCGACGCTTTTCACTCTGTTAACCTTTTGGGTTGAGCCGTCCAGATTTCGTTATCCTGAGAGACCGATAGTCTTTCTGGCGCTCTGCTATAATCTCCTCTCTATGGCTTACATTGTCCGTGCTGTGGTTGGAGCTGACAATCTTAGCTGTGTCAGTCAGATTGATGGGCCGAGTTACATTCCAGTAAGTAAATAGATTCTTCCAGTAAATAAAAAACGATCCTTTATAATTCATATTTGGTTGTTAATTAAAGAAGACTTGATTAAAAGTATAAACTAATTCCAATATAAGAGAAGAAATATTCCAAATAATTATTCCAAAACAGATTTTTTTTTTTAAGCAGAAATTGCAAAATTTGCTAGCAAAATTTGATCGATTGTAAAACACTTAAAAAATATATAAATGCCCTGAATATCCGTTGGATAATTGAGATCATCCATGGATATCACAAGATTATCGCGATGTCAAAATGACGTCTGTTGGACATTCCTAGGATAAAGTGTGTTATGTGGGATAGGTTTTGTTCGACTTTTATTTGCAATCCGCTGTTAGATTATCAGCAGACTTTGCCGACACGAGCTTTATATAGACGCAATTGATGCCAATCTATTGCAATATCCTGCTCAAAATTCTATTGATAAATTATTAGCATATTGCTAAGATTTTGGAATTGTGGTATTACATACACATCTGCAAGTTTATATTGATTTTAATTTGTTATATCTTTATTGTTATTTTTAATATTGACTTTTTATATTAAAGTACAATAGATAAATGAGTCGATTTTTCCCCAGTGACAATTAAAATGAAATATTTTTTTGTGGAATATTTTAGTTGCTTCATCTGATTCTGATTTTCAAAACATTCTAATTTATAGATAAAGTATTAAAATTAGCTAGAGTAATCATATGAACCTAAATAATTTTAACGAGAAATTCCAGGGCATTTTATTGATCTCATTCGCAATCTCAACAAGCATTCCTATATAAGAATCGATACGTAACGTTTTAACATTCGGTATGAAAAAAGATATGTGGCAGGGATATATACTCTCGTATAAATTCTTAAACATTTACGCAGAATATTTCGTAAGACATTAGATAATTGGGAAGAAGAGCTTGTCATTGATGGAAAAAGAATAATCAAAGAATAATCAAATAAAATTTATGATATGCCGACACTGTGTTATTCGCAATATCCGCGAACGACATGAAGAAAGTAATATGAAGACTCGAAAGCGAGAGTGAGTAAATATGGGATCGTTACAGGAGCAAGACTAAGCTCATGGTGAATCGAATTGGCATACTCGAATCCCAATACCATTCAAGACATTGATTTTACCTGGGATTAATTATAAATAAAGATGGAAGCTGCATCCCTGAGATTAAGCAAAGGCCATCCCCATGACCAAAGATATCAGACTTGTTAACATCTGGGTTCTGGAAGGATCGTGGATTCAGACGAAAATTCGCCTTGGTTACGCCTCGGAAACATCACCTCCGAGTGCCTCCGTGTATGGTTTTATCCTTGTTCACCCAATATTAAATAAGAATAAGATGATCCGGAGCATCCGAGTGATGTTTCTGAAGCAGCCTTTATCCAAGCCATTTTCCATATTTCTTTCAAAACGGAGATTTTGAACTATCCAAGCAAGGAAGAGACAGCTGAGAATCGAAATAAATGTGGTGTTGGAGGCGAATATTATAGATATCATAGACTGCTAGATGCACTAATATATTCATCCTTTCAGAGCTTGAAATAAAAAGTCAACTGTATGCCACTAAGACATACTGTCCTATTTCAATCACATAGAAACAACAGTCTGAAAAATTGTTGGCAACGTCGAAGACAAAAGAGCACGAGGCTAATCTCTAACCAGGGTATCATGGAACATGTTGGAATCAATTCCGATCGGAATTATTTCGTTTTCCCTAGAAAACACAATAGAAATCCAGAGAATAATTGAATAATTCCGATCGGAATCCATTCGAACTTGTTCCATGATAGGACTTGTTCTGATGGACAGATCAACTAAAAGATGAAATATCTAAATTTTACATCGTGGTGAAAATAGTCACTAAGAAAATAGCCACTAGAAATTGGTGAAGACAATTCATACGCTTTTAAGTGATTGCATCAAATAGAGATCAGTCATGAATGACTTTGAGAGACAGAAAGAGAACCTATTAAGTGCTTAATATTATAAATTATTATTATTAAGCGAACATATTAATTCGTGTTTTCGTAATAGTAAAATATGAAAACATAATCCCATCTCTAATAATTCATGTCCTGCGTAATAAAAAAATAAAAAAATAATTTATATTTAAAAACAGGCATTTCAATAGAAACTACAATTACTTTAATTTGACTATGACATCTTAGAAACAATGAACATTGTTGTTCATTATTTGCCAAGCACGTGAGTGGAAATGAAACCTCGAAATTAAGTACAACAACGAGCGATTAACAACGCTCTCCGATAACATAATCAAAATTGATGTTCCTATTGAGAATGCCTCTGTTTTTAAATATTAATAATTTTTTTACTGTTTTTTAATGCCTTGTACATGAATTATTAAAGATGAGAATATTATCATGGTTTATAAACAAAAAAACATAGACAAAAAAAAGACATACGTGTTCGTAAAGGTCAACAATAATAATTTATGGTACAAGATATTAATAAACTTATATTTTAATAATTCCCTACAAATTAAAATTTTTTAAAGGTATTTTTTTTTTAAGATAAAATCAAAGCAATGCATTAATTCCAGCTATTGCAATAATTCAACAGCTCAAAAAACATACTGCTTTTACTTACCATTTCAAGGGAAAAAAATCAACTCATTTTATCTATCATCTTTTTTTATCTGCCTTCATTTATCTGCTGTAATCTACTTGTTTACCTATGAAATTATGAATAGGTTCGCGATGCTCTGAAGAGCATTCCTTGTACAATTTGGTGGCTGGTCAGATATTATCTGGGATTAGCCAGCAATATGTGGTGGGCAGTGCTGTGTGGTTGCTGGCTGCTAAGCGCCAGGAATGAGTGGAGCAGCGAAGCTCTTTATGACATCGCACCCTATCTTCATACGGCCGCGTGGATTCTTCCAATATTTTTCACAGGAGGTAACTTTATGCATACATCATATAGGTCTAAAATCTATTCACATCAAATGCCATGTCGATAACTAACGGCTGACTGACGCTACTAAACACAAAAAACGCATCAAACTTGTAAAAAATATTTCTAATTTTATAAATATTATTAATATTAAAATAATAATCTAAATTAATAAATACTACTAATTATAAACAAAATTTCATTCCGGCATCGCCGGAAAAACAAGCAAATTATCCGGCATTGAACGTGTTAATTATGCAACATCAATATTTGATTCGATTTTTAATTGTAACACTTTTTTATTTGTATTTATACATTCTTTTGGAATATCGTGTGTAAGAGCTGCGTGTAAGAGCGACGAATTTGTAACTGATAGATCGCAAGTTCAAATCCCGCATCTCGTATATACGAAAAAATTTCCAGTCAGTCTATACTGACTTATTGTTAGCAGGAATCACAGAAGACTTCTTTATAGATTTAGGTGACTCTAAGATTCAGACATATATAGAGACTAATATGATCTGATCCTTATACTTGCACACATGCACACACTCCTCTTATTACTACTATATATTATATATTCTTTTCTTATTGATTCATTTCAGTTATAGGTTTTTTATTTATAGTTATAGTTGTTACATTTATGATTTCTTTAGTATGAATTATGAATATGTCTTTCATATAGGTAGTCTATTGTCGCATAATGTGGTGGCAGATGAATTAACCGGATTGTGCCAGATCTCGGACGAGTCGGCACTGTGGTTAGAAGTGTTGCCGCACGCAATGCTGCTATTGTTGGGCTGCGTGTTTGGTAGCGTTGCTGGAAGCGCGTTGGTACGCGTACGGAGGGCCGTGCGCTGCGCTGGACGCAGCGCAATGAAACTGGAACGCCTGATGACGCGGCTAGGTATCTTCGCGCTGTTGTACGCGCTGCCAGCACTGGGTGGTCTTGTCTGTGTACTGCAGGAGGCCTCGGTAAGGCCGCGATGGAGAAAATTGGCATTGTTGGCCGCATTGGACTGCCGCGCGGCGCAGAATTGCACCCCAGGTCCGGTATACCGAGCTGCCGGTCTCGAAGTTGCCCTTCTGAGACTCTTTCTGTCCCTCGTGGTCGGCGTTACCTCCGGCATGTGGGTATGGTCTGGCAAGACTTGCCGTGCTTGGAGCAGACTACTCGTTGCACCTAACAAATCCGCCAGGATACAAAGCCCTTTTCAAGGTTTCAAGCAGGACGACAATATCGCTTGACTTTGAATCTTGACTTTGTCAATGTGACATTCAAAATGTTGACGTTTCAAATCTTGCGGATGTGCTTTAAATATTTTAGACATTTTCTCATCATTGTGCGTGCGCATGTGCATGTATGTGTAAGAATGTACGATTTTTGTAAATTATGTATCCCTGTTACAATTGTGATCTTCTTTAAGGAGATCCTAATGACGTCTGTATTATCGATTAAATCATATAATTTTCGTATAACAAATACTTTTCTTCTTTTTCACAGATTCGAAAATCCTTTTCCAGGATTAAAGTATACGCATTAATACGTGTTTGTGAGGTGGAGTTTATGCCGAGAATGATCAAAAATTTCAAAATTGATACATTTTTTACCATTTCTTAGTGTAACATGGCGTCTCAATTGTCAAGTGACTGCTTGAAAGTTTTGCAAATCGTGCTTATGAAATAATCCACGTAATTGCACGAACAAATAACGTCAAGTTCTTAGAATTAGACTTAGATGCTTTATTGCGATGAATTTGTTACGCGAAAATTTATGTGCAATTGCATATATCATAGTTTACGTAAGGCATTGATGTGGTAGTATATAAAGATACGAGGGCAAGTCAAAATAAGTTTTGACAAAATGGTCCACAATGAGCAAACGCAGCATCCATCTTGCCGATAGTTTTTTCATACTCAATTATTCGTGCAAAATTGAAATCACTGTGCCATGTGGTATGCCTGTGGCCTTACAAGCTCGCGCACTTTCACTCATCAATCAGTCAAAACAATATCGTGGACTTTATCGATGATTTCTGACGTAGCAATTGATTGATGCGTTTAGTTCCTATAATAAGAGTTAGGATAAATCGCCGCCATTAATAGCCAAATACTACAGAGACTACATATAGAAAATATACAGAATACGATATAGAAAATATGACACATCAAACATGTATAGTCGAGTTCAATTAAATGAGCATGGTATGGTTAGAAGTAACAATCTTTAACAAATCTTGTGTAAACGTTATACTGCCAGCGCTAGTTAATGACGAAAACATAAAGAATAACATCAAATACATAATTTTTTGCAATTTGCTTGTAACTCGCAGTTGTGTTGGCTATTGCTCATTTGAAACTTGCGGCTGGCTATTACATATAGCGGATTTCGGCAATCAATCAAAAATCATTATCTCGGTAGTTAACTCTTATTATAGTATCTCTAAATGTGCTGGAAAAACAGTGATCTCTCTGTCATCTTTGACTTTGTCATCAGAGTTCGGGCTTCACTTTAGGATTCCCTTAAATATCATAAACGCGATATATCGCATCGCGATTTTTACATGTGTATACATTTGTTCAACTACGTTTTTATCATATTAAAGATCTTTGATAAATTCAGAGCAGTGAAAGCTGACCAAATAATAAAAAAATATTAATTGTTAGAACACAGTAAATATAAAATTTGTTTTTTAATATAATAGCATTGGAAATCCTTAATAAAATTCGATTTTCAAAGATAAAAATATCTCTACGCACGTAAAATAGAAAATTATATCAATTTTTATTATGCGTTAATCGAATCGTTTGCATAGCTTAAAAGAATTAAAGAATAAGTATAGAATATCAATGGCAGGCGCAATTTTAAATCGTGTGGCCAAATTCGTCCGATCTACCGTCTTAAGTTTACATCTTATGCATACTGTTATGGAATTTTATATGCGGCAGCCCTAATTTGATTATTTTCATAAATTAATATCTGATTAAAATACATTTCGAAAATTGTAAAATGATAGAGGATTTTTCGATTCAGTTAGTCCGCTGTATTTACACAAAAGCACTTGGCAAAAAATTGCGGGACACCTGTATATATATGTTAGAATGGAGTCCCAGGGTGTATTTACCGTATAACCAATCAGAAGTGATGTGCTATTGTGATTTTGCGATTTACTGATTATTGATTGGTTACACGGTTACGTGGCAAATACGCTTCATGGGACTTCATCCTTAGTGTAACGTTCCGGTAGTGCACATCGCTAATTGGCTGACTTAAAATAAAATATTATTAATGGGCGCATTCAGCAAACTCAACAATTGAGTGAGTGTTCGCTGGTATTGTATTCTTCTAGATCTAAAATTCTGATTGGATAAGCTAAAAGAATATATCAATAACAACGATCCTCAACTGTTAAATCCACTGAATTGCTAAAGAAGTGAAAAATTACTAGGCACTGGCCGATGTGAGTGAATGTTTGCTATCACACTGCGCTAACGAGATCCTTCCCCTATGTTGTATATATTGTAAAAATAATGCCTACTTCTAATGTATATTTTAATCCTTAATTATAATAATTAAAATAGTCGTTAAGTTCATTTCCTAATAACAATGAAAGCATATTTCGATGAATATACCAATGAATACAACTTTAATAAACGCCAATCATTTATATTATTATTTTTTAACTGTTATCAAGCGATGCAGTAGCGGCGCAATGCCAATGTATGTACTAAGCAAACATTGCGCCAGTTGCAACTTTAACAATCAGTATTGGCCTAATATCAATTAACAGAATGTTAGCCAACAATCTCAAGGAGCACACTCTAGTGACATAACAGTTATAGAAATATTTATACAACTTTCTTAAAAACTTTGTAACTTCCGTTACAATTGTACTTGTATCTTAAAAGTGTAGGCAGTAACATCATTGAAATGTTTATAACAACTAAGTGGGGAACCTATACGACTGATTTCTAACATCTTATTAATTACATTAAAACTTATAATATACAACTCTATTGCAACAAACCGTTAATAATCATAGAATAATGTTTCAATAACCGTCTTAAAGATCATGTACAGATGTTAGTACAACTTTCATCAATAATTCTCAAAATTAAATATTTTTTATCAAAAATAATATTTTTCTTCATATTTACATCTTAATTCATCGCATTTGAGATATACGCCGAACATTTATATGCATATATTTATGAAAACGCATGTAATTTTGATGGGATTTGAACCTAAGATCTGGGGTGATAACCTAATATGCTAACTCTGAGCTATAATTGCATGTCTGGACAATTTACAATTCGACAGTTACTCGACTCCTTGATAGCGATCATGTAACTTTGATCTCCATTAATTGCGTTTTTTCTTTAAGATGATCAAATTTTGCTTTACTTTTGCATATTCTATTTTGTCAGTAACTTTTATCGGCTGTTGCTTTAAGTGCTCTCTTGTAATAGCTACTATGTTTAAATACTATTTCCTTTCCCATTTGGTTTATCCAGATATTTGTAACTGTAATTATTAAATATAAAACTAATGAACGCGTACACAGATCAATAGTAATCAAAAATAAAATAATCTCATGAAGTTATATAACATATAAAGTTATAATGTTTTATAAATATACACATTATTTCTACGCAACGTCCATTCGTAATTGTGTGAACATTCTGAAAACTTGATATAATTCAAAAGTTGAGTTAAAGTGTACGGAGTCAAATAAACAAATTCAAAAACAATGACATTTATATCGCAAGATGACTAACATAAATAAGTTGTATAGACGATACATACAAAATCTTAACAAGAATATCATATAACGACTAATTTGTACGAAGTCGTATGAATATTATAAAAACTTCAAATAGTTATATAATCGACATTAACTATTTTGTCGTATAATTTTCCGATATGTGACTTGTACAAATATTTTACGGAGTTGTAAGAATTTTCTCATAACTTTGTGCTCCTTAGAATTAGCTATTATAGATTGGCTAAGTTGGTACCTTATATGAGTGTAGTTTCGTATATTTTTACATTGTATTTGATTTTTACGTTACTGACGACCATTCATTTAAGACAGTTCTCGTCCGAAGCTTTCAATTATATCTTTAACAAAATTTGCGAGCAAATTGCACTTACAATTAGTGAGAGTGTTTTTGCAACATTTCAAGTTGTCATATCTTAAATTTTATGTTTAATTGGCGTTTTGTCACATTTATACTGTACTGGTTTTAATAATTATGGATAATTGAATTTGTTAAACATTGAGAATGATCCAATAAAGGGAAACGTTTGTTATTATATGTTATACAAGTTTTATTGGTTTAATAATTTAGCACTAACATAATTCTGACTCCTCATTTTATTTATTTAGTTATTCTCATTGAGCTTTATATTATTATTAACTTAATTTTAAATATATTTTTCCTGTGCATAAAGCTTAATTTTTATAATAATGTTAAATTTATTTATTGTTATATATATATATATATATATATATGTCTGAAACATTTATATTACTCTAAAATTAATTATTTACATTTAGATATATTTAATATAATACATATATATATATATATATATATTCATGTATGGATATGATCGTTTGGATATGGACAGGTCAAAGTGATTAATTTTACTTTTAGAATCTTAAAATTTTAAAGCCAAAGCACCGACGAAATACTATTAAAGACTAACATCCTTACGGGAGTTCGCGTCCTTGTGAATATTAAAGTGATTAAGAATTAAAAACTGATAATATTGTAATAACTGTACTAATTTTGATGATTAGTTTAGTAGATGTAATTATACATTTATAACTCAATAATACTCGATTTTTCTTTAAAATTGTGATTTTAGTATTATTTTAGTATTATCGTCTAAGTTTGATTATCAACAGAGATGATAATCGCAGAGAAAAAATTATAATTTTTCTGCAATATATAGAATATTATATTTAGCTTTACAAATATACATATTTATTTATGGAACATTTATGTAATAAAAAAATCATGAATTTAATAATGTATGAATCAAATATTTATGTTAATAATAAATTTGTATCAATTGTCGATAATGTCAGCGTTCTTCAATGATCTCCGGGACTTTAGGATTCTTTTTATATCGCCAAAAATTTGCTCAGGATTGACAGTTTTTAATAGTATCTCGTCGGTGGGCAAAATATCAATCAAGTTAGCATTAAATTGTTTTTAAATTCATAAAATAGAATTGGCCTGTAAATGGCTAATTATATAATACTTGTACATAATACATTTTGAACGCGTATTTGCAATATTAAGAATACGTATCAAATACATAATTTATGTATTTAATATGGAAAAATATCGGATAATAATCATATGTATTTGGTATGTAATGTAAATTACATATTAAATAACGTATCTGATACATGATTTATATCTTAACTTTTTTTCATTTCCCTGTTCAAAAAAATTTATTATATAATTAAATTTTAAGTTATTTTAAGATATTTATTACATAATTAAATTTTAAGTTATTTTGGAAAATTTATGGCATTTTTAGGTTCATGATCCCATAAAAATTATCTATTTTTCATAGGAAAAAACTTGATGTCAATTGGATGATTGATTGAAGCTGTACATTTCTCATCAGTTTGAAAAATATGAAAAAATAAAGTTTTACTTTCTGATAATGATTTTAGTTAACTATGATATTTTGCAACTTACATTTGATCAGCGCTTGGCATATAAGTCAATTTCTCTTTCTGTTTAAAGAACAAATTTTGCTGCAAAAAATCGATTTTTTTTTTACCTCCAAAGTAAAATCTCCCCTTAACGAAAGTGTATGCGCTAAGTGTATGCCTAAAAAAAAACTTTTGTACCAAATGACAAATTATCAAATAATATTATCCTTATTGTACCAAATTAAAAAATAGAACCTAAATGATATTATCATTATTGCACCAAATTAAAAATGTAAAACCCAAGTGATACTATTTTTATTGTTTAGTTTTCAGTGATTCACGACACACAGTCCGCGGGCCGCCAATGTATTTTTTGCGGTCTGCCAATTAATAGCCGAAAATAAAAATATATTTTTTATTTTATGTAAACTGTCAAAATACAATGTTTATACTTATTTCGATGTATATTCATTTTTTAAATATTACACACAAATCTTATTGAGTAGATTTCAAGCATTTATTTAAAATTCTGGCTACATTTGAAACACTTCTCAAATGTCCTCATGTATTATTTTATGCTTCGCCGAATGTTAAAATAATATTCAAATAGTATTTCCGAACATAGCGAAAAATATTCGAGAAATGCATTTTTTCTCGATTGTTTTAACAGATAAGTGCACTGCATGCTCGCAGTGCTTAATTAAGCAGATGCGAACAGTCGCTTACAGTGTGCTATTTATTGGGCATAAACAGATATTTATAACTTAATAATACGTTTATAATTTCGAAAGAAATTTTGAAAATATTAAATTTCAGGATGGCTGCAAGTTCCAATTCCAAGAAACGGAAGATTCATGATGAGAGATGAGTATTTAAGATAAGTGGATAGATTTATTCTTTTTTGTTCAAGTTAAAGATAAATCAATCAGCATGATTTATAATGAATCTATTTGTCATAAAAAACTTTAACATATAAAGCACTTACATTATTTATATATGTAACTGAACGCAATATATATTATGTAATGCATTTTTACAATCATTATGTGATATCATAATAAATATAAATGATTTTCGGTATAAATTATTAGGTGTTGGAATTAATTCGTAGCGTTTTTTAATGAAAGAATGTTATTTATTTCACATGAGCATTAAAAAATACATTAATGAAAGTACTTCCCATCACTTGTAAAACGCTACGAATTAATTCCAACATCTAATAAGATTTAACAAGATAAATTTACTATACAATTTAGATGAACAGATAACAATGTCGATTTCAATGCACTAAATCTTAATTATCTGATTCGTACAAAACATCGCAAGATTACTAGTTGAATAATTATTGAATATCGAATTGTCAAATAAGAGTGTGATTATATAGCTCAGCAAAAGTGTATTGTTATATGTTTACTGCAATCTTATAATTAATTTTGAATCTCTGCGATGCGTTTTCGAAAATTATAAAATTGTAAAATGATTGTAATCGATGATAAAATAAGATGTGAAACCTTGTGATATATGTAAAAATCGTCATTTAAAAAAATATTAGGTGTTGGAATTAATTCGTAGCGTTTTTAATGAAAGAATGTTATTTATTTCACATGGGCATTAAAAAATACATTAATGAAAGTACTTCCCATCACTTGTAAAACGCTACGAATTAATTCCAATACCTAATATTTATTTTTTCCATTAATTTTTAAACATTGTCAGTATTATTTCGACATATTACAATGCGTAACACAACGTTTTATTGGCATATTATCTGCATATATAGTATATATTATTTGATACCTGTTACCGTGATAATGTTGTAAAGATGCTATTGACTGCGGACAATACGCTGCAGATAATACGCTGTTATTCGTTGATAACAAATTGAAAACACGAGCTGTCATCGAGGAAATTGATGCTGATATATTGCTATCGTAAGAATTCGAATTGCACTGAGTTCAACGCGACAGACGTGTTCTCATTTTGTCCCGAGTGTCGAAATTAGTTGCTGTAACAATTTTCGGCAACATGCCAGCAAATTTACTGCATTTAGCTCAGGATATTTTACGATTCATTAAATTTTATGAAATATCAATTTTGCACATATTATTTAAATTTCTACTTAAATAATTATATAAATAAAAAACTTTTCGTCACAATAACATTACAAAATATTTCAATAAAAATTTTTTATCAAAAATTCTACAATGCTGATACTCCAAGTCCTAAGATGTTAAAGATTTCAATGATGTAAAAAATTCCAAATATCATATGAAAAAAATCTAGGTTTCACAACACTTCAAAGTCTCCAAATATTTGCGAAAATCCATCTTATAAAGTGAATTCCAGATCCCATGATGTCAAAATTCCAAGTCTTACAATATCGAATTTCTAAATTTACAATATCAAGTTACTGTCAAATTAGAAATGTCATACAGTTATAAAATTCACGTTAAAATTTCAAGGTGATATATATTTACCTTTGCAATAATATTGAGGATTCAAATCCCATAATCTTTAAAATTTATACTTTATAATGTTGAAAGTCTAAACTTGCTACAATAGTTTAAATTTATTGTAAGTTCCACAAAAGATTCATTGCCAGACTTAATAATATTGAAAATACTAATAATACAAGTCTAAAGTCTAAATTTCACGAAATTGAAGTTTGTTGTGTTTATAACGTATACTGCTAGAAATGTTCTTCATTAACTTTTAAGTTACACAATTTGAACTTAATTTCATGATATTACGTTATAAATTTAATGTATTTATAATTAAAAAGTATATATTTGTATACATGTACATAAAATTTAATGTATTTTTCATGAAAATTTATGAAATTTAATGTAATTTTCATGAAATCTTATTAAAAGCACCTTAAATTTCATAAATTTAACGTTCATTACATTTAAGTAACCGCTGTAACTTAATTTTTAGTTAAATCATTCATTACTTTTAATTTCGTTCATAACCACGAGCTTTATTTACATGTAAAAGAAGTTCGTGGTTACATTTCTAACAGTGTAGTTCCACAATCCTCATCTGCAATGAAGTACGATATGAAGTACGATTCTTCTGTGACAAAGTCGTGCAATAATCTTTTTCCACGATAAAATTCTACGATGATTTTCTTCTGAGATGGAATTTCGTAATAATTCTCCTTCTACGACAGTCATGAAGATTCTCTTCTGCAATAAGATCTTCTATGATGATCTTTCACGATGGAAACTTCATGATAGTCTTCTTCTACGACAGAGTTCCGTAATGATTCGAGTGGCACTGATTGGACATGATTCGATTGGACGAACTCATAGCACTTAAGACTAAAAAGCTCCGGCATCCAATCTCTATGATTAAGTGTGCCATCGAGACATGATTAATAAGGATCCTTTAGATGATTCTCTTCTGTGACAAAATCTAATGATAATCCTCTTATCTTTATAAAGTTTCACTAATTTTTTTCTATGACAGAGTATCGCAATGATTCTCTTCTGCGATGGAATTTTATGACGATCTTATATGACGAAATCGCGTGATTATCCTCTTCTGTGACAGAATCCCATGACGTGATTCTCTTCTGCAACAAATGGTCCCACGATAATCTTCGGTGATGAAATTCCGCAACGATCTTTTGTGATAAAGTTCTGTGATGACTTTTCATGATGGTTCTCTTCTGCAATGGAATTCTATGATGATCTTGTATGACGAAATTCAGTGATGATCCTCTTCTACGACAGAATCCCATGATGTGATCTTCTGTTTCAAGATCCCGCGATGATCCTCTTCTGCGATGAAATCTCGCGATGATCCTTTTTGTGATAAAGTTCTGTGATGATCTTTCACGATGGTCCTCTTCTGCAATAGAATTCTATGATGGTCTTGTATGATGAAATCCCGTAATGATCCTCTTGTGATAGAATCCCATGATGTGATCCTCTTCTGCAACAAGGTCCCACGATGATCTTCTGTGATGAAATTCCGCGATGATCCTTTTTGTGATAAAGTTCTGTGATGATCTTTCACGATGGTCCTCTTCTGCAATAGAATTCTACGATGATCTTGTATAACGAAATTCGGTGATGATCCTCTTCTGCGACAGAATCCCATAATGTGATCGTCTTCTGCTTCAAGATCCCACGATGATCTGCGATGAAATCCCGCGATGATTCTTTTATGATGACTTTTCACGATGATTCTCTTCTGCAATGGAATTCTATGATGATCCTGTATGACGAAATACCGTGATGATCCTCTTGTGATAAAATCCCATGATGTGATCCTCTTCTGCAACAAGGTCCCACGATGATCTTCTGTGATGAAATTCCGCAATGATTCTTTTTATGATAAAGTTCTATGATGATCTTTCACGATGGTCCTCTTCTGCAATAGAATTCTACGATGATCTTGTATAACGAAATTCGGTGATGATCCTCTTCCGCGACAGAATTCCGTGATGTGATCGTCTTCTGCTTCAAGATCCCACGACGATCTGCGATGAAATCCCGTGATGATCCTCTTCTGCGACAGAATCTCGTGATGTAATCCTCTTCTGCAACAAGGTCCCACGATGATCTTCTGTGATGAAATTCAGCGATGATCCTTTTTGTGATAAAGTTCTGTGATGATCTTTCACGATGGTCCTCTTCTGCAATAGAATTCTATGGTCTTGTATGATGAAATCTCGTGATCCTCTTGTGATAAAATCCCATGATGTAATCCTCTTCTGCAACAAGGTCCCACGATGATCTTCTGTGATGAAATTCCGCGATGATCCTTTTTGTGATAAAGTTCTGTGATGATCTTTCACGATGGTCCTCTTCTGCAATAGAATTCTACGATGATCTTGTATAACGAAATTCGGTGATGATCCTCTTCTGCGACAGAATCCCATAATGTGATCGTCTTCTGCTTCAAGATCCCACGATGATCTGCGATGAAATCCCGCGATGATTCTTTTATGATGACTTTTCACGATGATTCTCTTCTGCAATGGAATTATACAATGATCCTGTATGACGAAATCCCGTGATGATCCTCTTCCGCGACAGAATCCCGTGATGTGATCGTCTTCTGCTTCAAAATCCCACGATGATCTTCTGTGATGAAATTCCGCGATGATCCTTTTTGTGATAAAGTTCTGTGATGATTTTTCACGATGATTCTCTTCTGCAATGGAATT